CCCCATGTTAATCCCATTTATGTAGTAAAGATAAATTATTTATATAATATGTCTACCCACATAATAGAACGCTACACATCGAATAATAGGTTCGTAGGGCCTGTTATTTGATAACTCTTCCATTTCTCAAAAAAGTGATAACGCTCCGAGTTCTTAGGGCATCATATTCAACGGATAATGACATCGCACCCTCCATTCTTTGAGGAAGCGGTAACCCACTGCGTTTGCTAAGGGTATACGAAAAGACTAATGGCCGCACGCAGGCAGCAGAGGATGCTCCTTGATGCCTTCTGCTTTATGGCCCTCATGCACACTGAGCGCCTTGAGGCCGAATCTTACTTCTGGCTGTGAGCACCATTCTTTTGATTTGACTCGTACTTACAATTAGATGACTTTTGTTTAGAAAAAGGAGACCTTCGGTGATGTTGCTTAGTCACAACTGTCCACCATTGCACCCTGCCATAAGCTCACAGCCTTCGGTATGGTTTGCAGAATTGAAATGGTAATACGGATTGAAGATTTCTCTTCAATCTACTTATTCTTTTGTGCTTCGAATGCTAGGAAGTTAATTACGCATCTGTTGAAAAAAATTTAGTCAATGGAATTAATGCAATAAGAGAAAAGAACAAAAAAAGTAAGATGCGAGCTCTCATACTGCCAAAGTGCTCTAATGCTCCATCTGCGCGCGGGAAAGTAATTCAAACGGCAACGGTGGTCGATTGCGTTCTGCAGTTGTGCGTAATGCCTTTCTACCAGGTATAGGTTAAAAGCTTCCACGAGTTTATGNTACTTATTCTTTTGTGCTTCGAATGCTAGGAAGTTAATTACGCATCTGTTGAAATAAATTTAGTCAATGGAATAAATGCAATAAGAGAAAAGAACAAAAAAAGTAAGATGCGAGCTCTCATACTGCCAAAGTGCTCTATGCTCCAAGTCGAATGAATATCAGCGCGCGGGAAAGTAATTCAAACGGCAACGGTGGTCGATTGCGTTCTGCAGTTGTGCGTAATGTCTTTCTACCAGGTATAGGTTAAAAGCTTCCACGAGTTTATGATAATTTTTGCGTAATTACAGTAAATTTTTGTTCTGTATTTCGAAATACAGTGATAAGAGTTGAGTTCCGTAGGTTTGTAGTCAAATTAGAATCAAGCTAAACGCTAATCAGGCATAATGCCAAATTCTAAGAAGGTTGAGTTTGTAGCTCTTATGTTACTACATTACGTGTCTTTTTAATCAAAATACTAGTATATTACGGTGGTCAATGTGCAATATTTGCCCTTGTTACTCGTATTAGGCATGCCATTAAAGTGAGCCTTTTCAGGAATGATATCATTGAAGAGACGTCCTTTGCTATCCAAACCTAGAGCACCCGTTGCTGAAAGCGATTCTGAGGAAGAAAGCGACGCTCAGGAAAAATCATCGTTGCCAGTCGTCTCTAGTAACTTCAAGATTCCTTGGCGAAAAGAGAAGGTTAGTATGTTACTTCGTTTATGTTACTGTTCTGTCAATTTTGAGCAAAGCTATGATCAGTCTCGTGATATCCGCCTTTTGTCAAATGTGGCTGGAGTGAACATCAAAATTAACCACGATCCCTTTTATTCCCGTCAATCCATATTCATCGTTTACTTTACCTCATTAACCCATTGACGACCATGCAGTCCACATGTGGACTGCAGTTGTATATTTTATTTATCGCCACTTTTTAACGATCTTTCTTGTCGAAACATAAGATCAGGTCGAAGTTAAACTATATACTGTGTGGTCCCAAGAANGTATATCTACCTTCCGCACTAATTTAGACAGTTTTACACCACACCGGTGTTTTTTTTTTGAAGAAATATGTGGCCCTTCAATGATTCCTTTTTCTGAAAAGAATTAGTGAATGAGGATCTTCTCCTCATCAGAATCCATCACTAGCTGACTAAAATTGAAGTGCCACCTACCATCATCGTTAGTCATATCTTAAACTTGCGAACTCAGAAAAAATTAAACAACTTCTAGGTCAAAATTAAAGAAATTGGCCGTCCGGGACCATGCAGTCCACATGTGGACTGCAACGATGGTCGTCAATGGGTTAATGCAACTTCGGAAGGGTTGGCCATTATCTCAAGTGGGTGGGTAACGTTCTCTCCTCTCTCATCCGATTCTTATCGTCGGTTAAATTTCTGGGAGACAACAGGGGTGTGGGAATGAGTTATTCGTTATTCAGCAACCATCTTTTATGTCTTCCGTCTCATCATTCCTTCATAATGGCTTGATCCAATTCATTTACGCTTCAGCATGTTCCTTCTATCTTTTACTAGTAATTCATACCTGAAACCGATCTTTTCCACGACAACCCCCCTAACATCGGCGAATCCACCTTTTTCGGAGACTAAAGAATCTAATAGAATCGACTCAATCATCTCAGCACCCTAACAGCCTCTCGAAATCGATTGATGATCACACATTCATGGGAAAATAACATGCCCCCGGGAGCGATGGTGAAGCACCGTTTCACTGTTCTGCTTCGAGCCTCATTTGATGAGTATTCTGAGTTTCCTTTGCGGCTTCATGGAACAGTTGAGCCACCTTTTTTTGAAATTCGATTCTTAGGCTTACCATCTAGGCTTGTAAACTTCCATCTGGTTTTCGTAGTTTTGATCTTATGGGGCTCATCTAAGTGTGTCTCGAGCATTTTGCGACTGTTTTCATATTCCTACCCTTTTTNATTCTGAGTTTCCTTTGCGGCTTCATGGAACAGTTGAGACACCATTTTTGAAGTTTCGGAATTCTTAGGCTTACCATCTAGGCTTGTAAACTTCCATCTGGTTTTCGTAGTTTTGATCTTATGGGGCTCATCTAAGTGTGTCTCGAGCATTTTGCGACTGTTTTCATATTCCTTCCCTTTTTGAATAGCTTTACAATCCCGTGATAAGTTATTGGAGGCATACTGGGAGAGAATATCGGTTGTTTTTAAAATAACTCTTGTCACGACGGGATGAGGAGTTGACATTGCGAATTGTTTAGGCGGCAATGAGCGGTCCTGCAAACTGTGATGAGAGCGGTATTAGTGATTTTTGTTTTTTTTTTTAAATTTCCCTCTGAATGACAGCCAAAAATTCTCCGAGTGTTATGTTCCGTCGTCAGGTTCTTAATCCAATGCTACTGCATATTATATTTTTGCTGTTCTGGCAATTTTACTTTCTCGCTTTTGAATTTGTGTGATATTCGTGTTCGTGTGTTAGTTGCAGTATCACTAATAGTGCAGTATCAATATCACTTAATGAGCCTCGCCTCGTCTTCTTCTCGTGTTAAGAATAATGTCCGAGGATACTATGTTTTCTTGTCTACTGAAATTGTATAGCTGTTCTCGATCTCTGTTAGCTGTGTCGATTACTAGACAGAAACATCGACAGTTGACGATCCCTCTCACCACTCTAAAGAACTTTACCTATCTTCAACACACAGTTACAGTTTTAGATGTATTAGCCGCATCTTTGGTCGGGTCTCTGTGCTCAGTTTTCGCTGGCAGAGACTTGTTGAATGATTGCTTTCTTCGGGTCTTCATGAGTTCTATATCTCACCAGTCTCACCCATCGTTTTGTTGGTAGGAGGAGCTTTCACTAATCTCATTAAGTCGTAATCAGAGAGGCAGAAACAGCTCGTACCTTCGTTCGATACTCCGATCCTATCGAGCTTGTGGCCGCCTTCGATTCCGTCAATCGTGTTTCAGATGCAATCAGTAACTATTCTGTTCTAAAAATTACACAGAATTTAAGGGGTTCATCCTGCCCTCCTTGCAGTAATAATTCAATGTCGGCAACCTTCTAATACCCTAACATTGTTGGGTTTTTTACATTATTTAACTCTGTCTTTGGTTTTTTTTTTTGCAAATGGCAGTTTTATTCGGTTTTTTCGATACATTCAGTACTTGTTTTTTTAGGAGAAAGATAATGCAGAAGGTTTTTTCGTCTTGGACACTGGAAGCGCAAATGAGGGATCGTCTGCCTCTGTAGAAAAGGAAGTACATGTTGAAGAGAAGAAATCAAGGCTGCCTGTTCAAGATAGCAGAACCGACACTTCTGTGGTTGATGAAAGGCTACAAAAGGTTTGTTTTTCCGAATTAGTTTTGTAAGGCATCTAGTCATTTGAGGATACAGTTGTTCATTGAGTAATTAGTCTTTTTTCGGTACTCTCACTTCGTTTCACTTAAGCTACTTGACAAAGCAGTGTGTGGCCCATCTTTCGAAAAGAACTATGGTGAAACAGCGAAACTGCTAGGGAGAAGAGCTTTGAAGAGATTGAGAAAGGTAAGTGTTTATGTGATGATGCGCAATAGTTTTGCAATTTTTTAATTATCTTTGCTGGTATCCTCTCGGCATTTGTAGAGTAAGATCTGAGCGAAGTTCATTTTCGTAGCTGGGCTACGAAAATGAACTAGTAGTAGCTGGTTACGGCCTTCCAAAACGGCGCTCCATATAACAAAGCGTTTGATAATGTTATAATATCGTGTCATAGCAATACGTAAATGTGAATGCTCTCAATTTTGCCCTGTAAACTTTTATCTAGTTTTATTCTTCTTTTCTTTCAGCTGGAACGTGAAAAGACAAAGGGACGTGAATGGTTCGACCTTCCCGCTTCTGAACTTACAGATGAGGCTAAGGCAGATCTGGAACTGCTTCAAATGCGTGCTGCCATCGATCCGCTTGCATTTTACCGACGAAATGATCGTAATGTTCTGCCCAAATATTTCCAAGTTAGTGGTTTATTTGTAATCATCTGTAGTGTAGTGTAGTTTCGTCCTTTATACCGTTACACTTCTTCTAACATAAGCTTTATGTGCGGTGAAGTTACCTGATACCTGACTTGACAGACTTCTCCACCTTCGCTATTTCTCTCGTAAATTATCTCATGGTAACGTCTTCATATGTAACTAAATTACATGGTTTTCAAGCCGATCGTTACTTGCTATAGTGTATGGGAAGCGTGAGTGAAGCAACGATGCGAGTGAAGTACTGTTTGTTCTGTGGTAGGAACGCCTGATTACATTTTACGCGAGACATTTTTCCATCATTCCGGAATTGGTGCCATAATAGTTTAGCAAAATAAAAACGCCGTGTGTACCAGCTGAGGCCTGAACGTCTCTGTCAAATACTCATTCAAATGTCGCAGTGATTCCTTGCACTTGTATTTATGCAATTCCTACTTAAGGTTGGACGTGTTGTTGATGCTCCGGAAGACTACTATAGCAGTCGCATTCCAAAGAAGGAAAGGAAGAAAACAATGCTCGATGAACTGCTCAATGATCAACAGTTCAGTCAAACGAAAAGGGAAAAGTGAGTTTCAAGTGTTTTTGTGTGTTTTTATGATCACAACAAGCGTCGTATAGGAGGGCCAACGGGTCTTATTATTTGCACGTAATTGATGCTGAATAACTGCTAAGTTTCTATTTATGCTGCCATGCTGGACTATGTCCCGAATACCTGCCGAGCCTTAATAGTGACTATCGGAGTAGTTGGGACCTGGAAAGAAATATATTCCCTATAACTTGTGAATATCGAAAAGCAAGGGAGTTGGTTAGTAGGACCAAATATTTTGCGACTGCTTGTTTGTTCATTTCAACCGATTCAATTGCATAGTGACTGTTTCATTTGCTGTTCTGTTCCCTTGTTCTATAATGAACCTTGCTTTCGAGCCCAACTTTAGTGATTAACTAAATAGACCACCCAGGCTGTCCATTATTATGTTTCTGAAACTTGCTACCTCGGCCCAAATTGTTGTTATTTGAATGCTCAAATTTTATTTCTGGACGTTCAAGTTTCCGGACCGTGGCCAGTCCCAGCAAAAATATCCTTTCTTCCTCTATGCAACGAACAATTTTTGAAAATGCTTACCACGAAATCCAAAAATATAATAAAGCTGCTGCTACGGCGTGGAATTCGTAGAGTTTGATCTTTAGTTATGTATTGACCACTTAAATGCGGTTAGAAGCGGGAGTGAAAATCTTTTCTGTTGATTCAGGCTAGGCCCGCTTTTGCCGTGTATTGTCGAATGTCTTTGTAGGTTCATAGATGTCGCAGAACAACCAATTGAAAAGCTTGAACACGTTGGGG